TCTCTTAGACCAAACTTTGACTGCTTATGCTCACTGTATCCGCTCATCCGTGGCACAGAGAACATTTGAACAATGTTTCCCTCGACTAACAGTCAAAACTTCAGTTGGTGCGGGGTGGGAAGAGGGAGAGAAAGTCATTTTAGAAGCTCTCGTATGCGTTGTGTCCATTATCTCGGCTTCATTCAACTAATCAAAATGACAGGACGCGTACACCTTTCTTGGGTGCACATTCAAAGAACTCACATCAGCACCAACGACGGCCACCCTGGTTGTCGTAGCGTATCATCAGACCGGTTTTCCAGACTCAAATAACGACCTTGCGCCCATCCTCCCCATTCTTATCTCCTCTATCCAAATCAACTCCGCCCTCGACGAATGCTTATCGATTCTGCTCAAGTTCCTTCACCGCATACGAGCGTCACCCGTATCTCCACCACCCACACTCTCTCCAGAAATTGTAACGCCTCTATGTACTATCCTACCTACCATCGCCAGTGCCCACCCTGACCCACTCGTCAGACATCAAGCATTCCGAATCATCTCCTCTCTCCTCACACTCACCCAACCCGATTTAAGGATTCAGCTCCTCGCAGACCTTACTGGGGATTCGCAGCTGCCGCAGATGCGCGTTGCGGCCGTGGGTCTCGTTAAAGAAGCAATCATAGAGTCACTCTCCTCCACGAAACCAAACCCTTTCGCATCCCCACTCTTCCTGCGTGTCTTTGGCCCTATACTATTTAGGCCCGATCCTCCAGATTTGTTCAGTGGGAGCAAGGAACTTTCACTGAGTAGCTTCCAAGAATCAAGCGAACCTCAGCGGTTGATAGAATGCTTAGCGCTCTATTACGTCCTTCTCCAGCGCGATCACCAGAATCTGGTTCGTTGTCTCCGCTTACCTCTCTTGATGCGTGCTGAAAGTATGATTCTTGTTCAGACGGGCATACGTGATAAAGATGTCTTATCAAGTGTAGAGAGCAGTCTTTTGGAACCATTACGTTCGATCTTGGCAAAATGGATGAGCCATCCGTCTGTTTCTGGAAGTAAGCCTTCGACCGGAACAGATTCTTGGGCCCGTCTGAATGCTCATCTCAGGTCATATGCATGCTATAATGCCCCTGGTGTCTCTTCAGATGGGTCTTGAGAGGGTAGACGCTGCCATAGCCCAACTCCGATCTCCCAGAACTTAGAGCATGCTACATACGAGGAACGTTCCTCCATACCGTATCTAATCTGATGAGATTAAATCTAAATAAAAAGTGAAAAAATCTATTTTCGCCGAATGCTACCCTATTTATCGCTCAAGTCATATCGCATGCTCCGCTCCTACACCATTCTCCCCATCCCCCATCGTCATGTTCCTCGACGAGAAGGAAGACGTGGAAAAAGAAGGCGGTACATGGCAGCCTGTGACGGCGATAGCGTCGCTGCCGAGCAATACTTCTCCTCTGTACACGGACCGCTGGACTAGAAAACTCTTATCATATGGGGTGGAATCGCGGGGTACGTCTTTACTGCACGTCTTTCCTTTGGAGTATGAAGTTTGGTTGTAGGGATTCAACCAGTGCCGGTGGAGGAACGCACAGATACCCAGTTCAGCAAAATCTTTTTCCTCTGGTTTTCGTGGAACGTCAATATCCTTACGTGAGTCATTCGTTGCGTACGGTAACGGAGTTTTGACAGAGTGATGGCTAGGTTCTCCGCTGGAACGTTGGGCCCTGCTATCTTCGGGCTTGGACTACGCGACTCGTGTCTGACCATCTTGTTTTTCAACATCATATGTTGTGCGCCGCCCGCCTACTTGTACGTCATTCGTCTACTCCTGGCATTTGGAGGCTCACGCGACAGTTAAGAGCGACATGGGGTCCTAAACTTGGGATGCGGCAGATGGTCATATCGCGATATTCTTTTGGGTATGTGGGCTTGGGGTGCAGGATCGATTCACCATTTCCTGACCATCAATGACAGATACTACGGAATCATCATACCCTGCATTCTCAATCTTGTGAACATGTGTGGGTTCTCTATCCTCAACTGCATTCTTGGTGGGCAGGCTCTCGCAAGTGCAGGGAATGGGAACCTCAGCTGGACGTGAGCACCTTTATCTCCCCCTTCAGATCAGAAGTCACAGCATCTTGAATTTAGAGTGGGCATCGTTGTGATTGCTATCATCTCACTGCTGGTGTCGTTCTGTGGATACGAAGTTCTGAACTGGTAAGCCCAAGCTCATTCTTTACCTATGAATTCTAATGTCAATTAGGTACGAGAAAGTGTCATGGGTCCCAGTACTGATTACGTTCATTATTGCCCTTGGAGTGGGAGGCAAACATTTGTCTAATCCTCCACTTGTGGAACCTGCAACGGCAGCTGGTGTCCTTGGTTTCGCGGGCACCCTTGCTGGCTTTGCCATCACATTCTCGAGCCTAAGCTCCGATTTTACGACTTACTATCGGCCGGATGTCTCTGGGTAAGCTATTGCCGTGATCGCATGTTATTTGAGCTACACTGACATATCGTTAGGTGGAGGATATTTGGGTACTCTTTTGCGGGGCTCTTATTACCTATTGTGCGTTACCATCGTGCGTCTTCGTTCGCTTACGCTCAATCATCCCCCGCAGGTCACCCTTCAGTGCCTTGGTGCTGCAGTAGTTATTGCAGCTCCTTCTATCCCAGCTTGGGAACAAGGATATGCAGGCGGAAACATTGGCGGCCTCTTGGAGGCCATAGTCCGCCCCACCGGAGGATTCGGAAAGTTCCTCGCAGTGCTGCTGAGTCTTTCAGTGGCAGGCAACATCGCAGCAACATTTTACTCGATATCGCTGAACATCCAGATCTTTATTCCTCCCCTGGTTGTAGTTCCTCGATATGTATTCTCGCTAGTTGCTACAGCGATGTAAGTGCTTCCAACCACCTTCTTCACAGAAACTTACATTCTCTTCTCAGAGTGATACCAATATCGATCGTAGGCGCACACAGGTTCTATGACACGATCATCAACTTCCTTGGGCTGATCGGGTACTGGGCCAGTGCGTTCATCGCTATTATCATTCTGGAGCATCTTGTGATCCGACACAACAACCCTGCGGAGTATGACCTCGATGACTGGGACGCACCAAGAAGGTTGCCTTCGGGCATCGCTGCTCTTGCTGCTGGGATAGCTTCGTTCGGACTTGTTATCCCTTGTATGAGCCAGGTGTGGTTTACGGGCCCGATCGCCAAAACGACGGGGGATATTGGCTTTGAGGTTGCGTTTGGGGTCAGTGCGGTACTATACCTTCCTTTTCGTCTGCTTGAGATTAGAATACTGGGGCATGTGTGATATATATGTGCAAGACATGCCTGCGCCTATTCACCGTCAATTTTAAGGGTTTTCAGCGAGATTTTGCAATTGCACATGGACTTCACGTTGTCAAAATGCTCCAAGTTGTCGCGGACGAAAACGTTTGTCCTTTTAGATTTACATGTTACGGTGCAACATCACCCAGTAAAGGTCGCCACTGGGTCTAACCTCATTGGCCCGCAGGCTCCGGAATGCGTCAGCTTCATTCAACCTCATATACGAAAGATAAATACACGGTTGAACAACTGAAAAAGCTGAGTTCTCGTACATGGCGCGGGCCAGCTTAAAAACAATGTAAAGGGCGGGATTCACGGTGTATCATAATGCCAGGCGGTGAAAAAAACTGTTTTGCGCTGAGAAACTCTTTCAATTCTTCGGAACGTGACCCTTGTACTGGTCATCCACTACTTTTGCACACATGTTCCTACGTATCGTCCTCCCGCCACCAATGGGTTCCCAGCCTAACGGCGTGTTTGAGTTGCTGTCCGAACACCGTTTGTTCCTCGTCAAAAGGTTGTCCTAGTAGTAATCGGGCCCTATCATATTTTGATGATTACGGCGCAGGGCGGGTGGGCCATGGCTCCTAGGGGGCTGGGGTCAAAGACGGGGAGCGACTTGAATGGGCAGGGGACGTTCATGTCGTTTGTAATGGCGAAATTGGCTCCTTTCAGCTTCAAGTAGTTTTGCACACAACCATGCAAGTCGATTGGGTCGAAGATTTGATGGACTCTGCTGCGGATGCTAGTAAGGAAGGACGCTATGATCGTTTCTTGTCGGAGGGTACTATGTTTTTTGTGGTGGTTGGTGGGTTGTCGAGGAGGTTTGGTGATGATTCGTTGGCTTTTGCCCAGTTTGTGGCGTTTTAGAGGTAGGGGTAGAGAGCGGCAAGGCCGAGAGGGAGGAAGAGGTTGAATACACGGCTGCGGCGCATGCAGGTTTCTTTTGGTGGGAGTTGAAAGGGTTCTTTCAGAGTCAGAGTCTGCGTCCAGGTCTGTCGCGTTTATTGGCATCCAATATGGTCAAATATGAAAAGTCAACTCGTGCCTGTCAAAGAAGGTGAGTTGGGCCGTGAATGACGACGACAACGATGGGCTCACCAGTTCGGTAAGTTTGGCACCATCAACTCCGATATTAGCCTCTCAGCTCATTTCACAACGATGACGAGCCTCCAATATGCATGGTGAACGGCACATAAGCCGTGCAGAAATCCGTCAAAGGTGCATATCGACAACCAGGTCTATAGATTCGTTAGCTACCGCCATGATGGGAACAAAGAGAGCCATACTCGGGAAGTCTCCACAATAAGATGTCAACCGATGAATCAAAAGCCGTCTGACCTCACGTTGATAAGTTTTGAAGACCACGACCCTCCCTTTGCCTGTGAGTGCTCTTTCGAGCATCGTTGTCACTTATGAGCATCGAAGACCTCGACAAAACTCATCCTCCCAGCACAGTTCACTGGTAAGGTCTGAGCCCAATCGGAACCTTCAATGACGACTGTAAACGAGCTGAGCTGCTACACGATAGATTGCGTCGTGAAAGACAGTTCAGAGGTGGGGTATGTACACCTTTCCGCAGCCATGACTGAAGGTGGAAGACGCTTCCTTAGGTTTTGAAAGGGAATACTTTGGGCATAGGGACGTCAATTCTGGGATCACAGTTATGTAGAGAGGGTCTAAGTCCTTGTGAGCGTGCGTCCCAGCGCCTTCAAGAGAGACGACTGACAGGATGTGGGTATGACCAGGGCAGAGGTACCCGGAGACGATGGAAACGAGTCGACGATACGGTGATCAAGATTCAAGAAATGCGGTCAAATTGCGCTGATAGGGCATTTCGGATGAGACAGCTGAGTGGGAGAAGGACAGATGGATTGGCGTGGATTGTGATGCTCCGGAGAGACTTGACAGGTAAGATCTGCTGAGTTTGAGGGTCGACATCCATAGGTGGGGACATAGATGTCCGCGGGACCGTCGAGATCGTCTTCTTGCGTCTCCTGTGCCACTAACAAACTCAATCCGCTCGCCAACGCCGCATTCGTTCACGTTGCCCACGAATTGTGGTGA